AGCTGCTGTGAAGTGAAGGTGAAGAAAGACAAACCTTTTAAAGGGCTTTTCAAATTTCTGCTTACCATCCTTACTGTTTCACATTTTGAGTTTCTTATGTAGATCTCAAAATGAACTAATGGAAGTGCATTGAAATACAGTGTATACTGCTGGCTAGAAATAAATGAAGATCAGTCTGTAGATTCACAGCCTCTGTCATTTGTGACTGGTTGTCACATGAATGAAAATGAGCTGGCTGAGCGGCTGACCAGGCTTGATAGGTTTGGAGGATAGTAGTAAAAGAAAATTACTTTCCTAGTCTGGTGTAGAACATGCACCTTAGAGACACCATGTGTAGATTTTTTGATCTAGTAATTCTTTTGGCTTAGTGACTGCTTCTATATCCATAAAAACACTAAAGCACGAGAACTCACTACGTTTTGGAAAGGATTATGTCCCTTTTTCCAGTCAGTCATAGACTTCTTTCCTGGTACTGTTATCTTTGTAAAGGGCTAGGGCCATGTGCTAAGTACAGAATTAAATCCATGAGAAACTTGCCTAGGGTAACCAGTGCTGAGCATGATCTATTTAGTGGCTAGGCTGCCGTGTTGCAGATGAGGTTTTCAGTTAGCTTCTAGTTGCACTTCAGTGTCATGGTTTGCCTTTTCTCAGGGGGAAAAAGGTTTGCAACTCTTTGTGATCTCCTGCTGAGTGATTAACTTACTGCTGTCTGGCAGCAATTAAACAAAGTGATCAGAATGTAACCAGACACCCCTATGGACATTGTGTTCCCGGCAGTTCTGTGAAGGACACTGAGCTCCATAGTGTTCCCTGGCTTTGTCCTACAAAGTGTCAAATACTTAAATTCCATTAGTGGTGTTACAGGGGTGAATTGTTGTTCTTTTCTATTGCCTTTTTTTCTAGCTAAGTCTTGAAATGGATTTATGGTACACTTTTTTTCCCTTAAGAAAACGTGCACTTTAATTATTATTTATTTATGGTATTGTGCACTTAATTTAAGGCAGCTATTATTAGTATATACAGTAAGGATAATATCTGTATTAACTGATGTGATCACAGTTCTAGCTTCAGAGTTATTGCGGTCTTTCAAGCCAGTTCCTTGATGTGGATAATTAATTCTTAAGTTGGGATGTATGTTAAATTAACTGTGAATTCAAGAGAGACCCTCATTGAAAGCCTTCACATTTGAATAATTGGGATAAAACAATTGTTTGAACCATGCACTATTTTCAAATTGTCCTGGTTTTTTAATGGTCTTGGGCAAGTTGTTTCTAGTTTTCCATTCACTTGTTTGTCAAGTAGTTTCTCATATGATGGGAGGTCTCTGAAGTACAGTTGCAATAGTTAAGAGAGTTTAGCTCCTTTGAAATCTTGTAATTATTCTAAATCTTCTGAACTACATTTTTTAAAAAGTGAATTTGGTACTTTGTTCTTTCCAAAGCATTTAGAAAATGGAAACTGAAAGTGTTACCCAGAAGAAGTAATCGCATTTTTGTCTTCTGTATTAAGTACTACAGCTGGACATCAACCACTGAGTACAATTTTTAGGGGCAAGAGGACAGAGTGTTCCTTTACATAGTGCCAATTAAAATATTGACAGTAACCTCAAGGATTGCAGAATGGGATGTTTATTGTGAGGGAGAAAAACTTGAAGACCAGGTTTTTATAGTGGAGGAATGTTCTCAATACATGCTGGCATGCAAGTACTGATAACATGGGGACCTTTGGGTTTGAGTGCTGCCTATGGCAGTCTGAAATACCATTTGGAAAGTTTTCAGGAGGGCAGTATCTCATATTGGCAGTGTCATTTTGGTAAAAATTAATCCCTCTTAGAACAGCATGAATTATAATACTTCTGAAACCAGAAGCAATGCTGATTTGAATCTTTAACCCCTAGTTTTGGATAAGGGAGCTTGAAGCATAGAGAAGCCTTGTAAGGTGTGTGATGTGGCACTTATTTTATCAGGCAAATTCTTCTGCATCAATTTTGAAAAGCATGAATAAAAATTGTTAACTCACACCTTCCTAAAGTATGGTTTCCCTTTGAGTTCTGCTTTGCTATGTCTTTTGCTCAGATTAGTGACCACACCACCACCATCAGCCTGGGGTGGCTGTTTGATACAACCTGCTTGATTAAACCTTGATCTGTGCCACTTGCTTCCTGCCCTCACACAAACTCCCTTACAGTTGCAGGTTAAGCCCTTCAAGTTAGTTGATCTGTTCCTGGGCCAGTGTTTCTGCAGACCAGATAAAAATGGTTGTGGGCAGAGACCCTGCTTTCTGCTTGGCTATCCCTGGCATGGGTGTCTTTTGCCTCATAGCAGAGCTGTGTGGTTTGTGGTTGTTGTTTGGATTTGGTGTTAACCATGCTTGCTTCGCTCTAGTAAAAAATGTGCTGATGTAGGAACTGTCAGAAAAGGATTTATAAAACCTTTCCTGCTGTGTAATTCCATACAATTTACTGAAATGTGTTTAGAGTTCAGTAGAGTTTTTCTAAGATGAAATATAAGTACTTCCCCCTGTCTCAAGTGTTTTGTGAGAGCGTTGGTCCTTAGGGAGTTGTGCAGTGTACTCACCTATCACACACACCATTTGATATTATTTATTGAATTCTTACAAGTGGGGAAATAGCTAATAAAGTACCTACGTGTTCTTTTCTTTGGATACTTCACTGAATAGCCAGAATTGATTGTTTCATCAGATTGCACTGGCTGACTTGCTTTTGAAGTTTTGAATATACTTCTTTCTCTTTCAAATTATTTTGAAGGGAAAATATTATTAGCTAAAATACCACTTGGTGGACATCTTTGAAAAGTGCTTTAATTAGCTATTGTATTTCCATAATAAGGACAGCTAACTATGGAAAAGTATTTGTATAGACTTGCATTTCTGCCAAAGCAAGTAAATAGTATCTAAAGGAGGCTGTGTTTATAATTCCAAAGCTGTTGGTAAAAAAAAAAAAAAATCATCAAAAAAATTGTCATGTCAAGAATACGATCTCTTTGGAGTTCTTTATCCTTGCCACCCATTTATTATAAATAAGCATTTCATTATTCCTATTTTTGCTCTTTTTTTACAAAACCTAGTGTTTTAGAACTATCTGAATTGCAGTTCAGTAAGACTGCCTCCTTTTCCCACATGCTGTGGTACCTTAGGTTGTTGGATTGGTTGGTTTTTTTTTTTAAACACCTTTCATAATTTCCCATTTGTGTCCTGAAGTCCTGCATGCAGTGTCTGACAAGTGCTGAGAGCCCCGCCGTGGCAGTGGCGCTCAGCAGTGCTGCTGAAGGCAGCGGGTGCCCAGTGTCACGCCTGGTCTCTGCAGTGACCTCCACTCTGTGACGGTCTGAGTAACTGCATGCAATGCTCTGCATGTAGAACTAGTTCAAGGACAGCCATATCAGTGTGGTCCTGTGCCTGGTTCAGTAGATGTGCCAAAAGAAGGATGTGATGCAGTGCTGTAGTGACTACATTGCTTTGGCATTCCAGCTGATAGTTGTGCACAGGATTGTTTGTGCTGCATAGTTTAAACATCACCATAGTTTGAATGCCTTGATCAATTTTGTATGTCCAGAGCTGGTTTTGGTTCTGCAGGCAATATAATTTTGTCTTCACAGTCTCTGTAAACAACCTGAGTTGATGGAGTTGATACTTTGCAGTGTATGGAAATGCTCTGCATAGATAGCAGAACCATGTATAAGAGGGGATGGGCATTTATTATTTACTGTTTAAAATTTGGACTAATTAATGAAATCAGAAACAATTCCTGAGAGATAAGGTGTGATCTTATTACCTGTGGCATTACACATTTTCATGTGTAGTTGAAAAGCATCTGGAATTTTTCTTGTTAAAATTTTATTTCAGAAAGTGTAGCTCAGTGTTAATTATAGACATGCATTGAGGGTTTAGCTGCTACTGAAAATTACTGAGAATAATACTTGCCTGTGTTAGTTATAATATGTGTAGAAAGCTATTATTCAAGTTATCTTGTTCCCACATTTTTCCACTCAATCACTTCTTATCCCATGAATTTTGGAGGGAGAGGGTCTGGTGGAAGGTGGGAAACAGGCTGAAGCTGGCAGGGCAGAGACTTGGAGTTCAAAGCCAGAGAGACTGAATCAAGTACACACAGAATCTTTCTGTGTGGCAAAACAAAATGGTTTGGGACTGGAAGAAGGGCTAACTGAGGTCTACCAGAAATGCCACAGGGAATTTGGATAGGGGTTTGTGGGTTGTTGAATTGTGACTGGTGAGTCTATAAAGGGGCATCAACACTGTGGGCATTGGTGCCTACCAACAACTGTCACTGACAGCTGAATCCTGCAAACCCATGTTGTAGGCTGCTTCTGTTATATCATGAAAGCTTCAAGATTCTACCTCTTGTTCTTTTGGTGGTCCCTCTAAATCACTTCAAGCTGTGATTATTTAAAAGGTTTGGGCTGAACTTTTTTTCATAATCTGGCTTTGTACATCAGAGCACAACATTTCATGTGTTTTTTAGGGATCTGTCTGTAGCCAGTGCTTATTATATAAATAGTTTAAAATAGTAGTATTTCAGAAATAAAAGTGGATGGAAGTAGCCAATAAAATCAAGGAAAAAGCTTGCCATTCCCAGATATTTCTAGGAGAATTTTCCAGGCATGTGATATGACTGCAGTGCTTTCACAGTAGTAGACAGTATCTTGGAATTTCAGAGAAAGTGTCCTCTAAAATTCTGTGTTTGCACTTATCTACAGATATTATGTCTGTTTTCAGAGAGAAATGGATATTAACCAAGTTTTTTTATAAAGAAGTTTTTGTTTGGAAACTGTAAGGTTTTTGTTAAAAGAAAACTTGCTTTTTATATCAAAGTGTAATTTATGCATAAAAGCAGATTGGCTTTTCAGCTTCTTGATCCAGACCAAATTAAAGTGTTTCATCATTATACTGATATGGATTGGTTTAATGTAAGTCAGAGCTAAATATATTTTTCTTTCTCTCTTTTTTTTTTTTGTGTACAGAAAAGATGAAAAGGAGTATGCACTGAAGCAAATTGAAGGTACAGGGATATCCATGTCGGCCTGTAGAGAGATTGCAGTAAGTGTACATAAATGAAAGTAATTTTACTGACATTATTACTCAACAGGTATTTTATTTCCCTAGAATTAAGTAACATGGAGATTATCCAAATGTTTTCTTTAAAGTATGCAAGCATGGAAGTTTATTCAGATCTGAGCCTTTTAAAGAAGCTTTTAAAATAATAATTTTCTTTTAGTTCTTTTCATGTAATAGCAATGCCTCTTTCTGATAGAATTTTGTTTCATCTTCTTTTATGTGTTGAGAGGGAAATAAATACGAACTTCTAAATGAAGACTTACTTTAAAAAGGAATGTTTTTAAAATGACTTGAAAGAAAAAGGTTCTGAAGGATTACAACTACCATCTGAAGTCCACTTACTAATAATGTATTTTATTTTAGACTAATGGTGACTTGTTCTTTAGTATCTGAGAACAGTTTGTTCTCCTCATTTTTAATTTGTTTTGCCAAGTACAGGGAAGTTTCATAACAAAATGAAAAGAGCTCTAATTATATTTTTTTACATGTGTCTTTTATTACATACCTATTATTCCTTCAAATTGGGTAAAAATTAAGTGTTAGTAAATAAAGGTAGAATTTGATCTTTAAATGTTTTTTATGTCTGAAAATGTGCATTACTGACAAAATGCTGGATACTGAGTAGAATTTTGTAATGCAAGTATTTCTTGCATTGCAAAAGGAGTGCACTTGCTTGATTAAATATTTACCTTGTCCTACTGCTGTCACTATGCAGTCAGCTATTGAATGTATCTTAGGATTGTGCCTAAAGCTTTTTGTAATCTGGTAGTGTTGCCTTGAAATACAGCATTCAGATGTGCAATGCAATGTGGGGCATTAAAAACTCATGGTGTCCATGAACTGAACAAACCACTGGGTTGTGTTTAGTGTAGTGTCCATGGTGATTCTGTATGAAGAGACTTAACAGATGAAACTGCTGTCCTTGTAAAGTGCTTATCACTATAAGGTCAAGGTCACTCATGGATTTGAGAGGTGGCTGCATTGCTGTCAGTCACTTTACACAGGATTTACCCAGTGACCTTTTTTTGCTAATATTTCTGTCTTTGGAGGAAATAGGAAATCCTTTTAACATCAGTACTAGGTTATATTCTTGGTACTACAAAGTCATTTTTGACAATATTGAGGGGTTTTTGTTTCTTGGATTCTTGTTCTTTGTTTTAAATTCTACTGCTGTGGAGATGTGTGGATTAGTCTGAAGGAGACTTTCTTGTGGGCATGATAGCACTGTGATATGGAGCTGGTTCTGTCTACCTGGACAAAGCAATGTAAGGAAGGAGAGAGTGTCAAATTGTGTTTTAACTCCCATGATACATCACTTTTTTTTTAAATTAATAAAGCTTTATACAAAGGTCTGTACAGCTTATGAATTTTGGCATCTACTGTGTAAGTTACTTGGCTGCTTTCAGTGGTTCTTCTGGTAATTCTTCCATGAGTTAATTTCATTTTTCTTCTTCAAACCTTATTGTAAAACTCTGTAACCTGTGCTAATGCAGCACATCAGCATTTGCCTCAGTGAAATTTCAGGGGAAATATTAGAATTGTGAAATAGTTGAAAAAAATTACTAAGTTTTTGTCATATGGCCAGAATCAAGTGCATTTTCCATAAAAAGAACCAGACTTTAAATAATGCATCAATAGCTTATCTTGTATTTAAAGGCTTAGATAGGTGACAAGGAGGGTAATGTTTACTGATTAAATAAAGATTATCAGCCTGGACAGAGGCCATTTAAAAAATGTCATGAGTAGTTCTTTTGGCACTTAACCCTTCCCCTTTGCTCCAGCAGCAAAACAAACCCAAATCACGCTTTGGAAGATGAGAAAATGACAGGGACACCAGTGTACCTGATTCTGTGTGTGTATGTTCAGAATATTTTAATAGTTCTGTAAATTTTAAGACACTTGACATTGTACTCAAGATTGAGTAATCTTATTTACAAATAATTACAAATATAGTTACAAATCTTACAAATATATTGCTGAACTGAAAGACATTCAGTTTTAGAGTCCAAGATCATTTTGTGTGTCTTATTGCATAGATACCTATAATAGGATCTGCTGGCTAGCTTTCCCTAAAGGAAAAGGCAGATGACTTCTCTTCTGACATTACAAATCAAGTTGGTCTGTCTTTGCTTAGGACTTCAAAACCCATAAAGTTTCTCTTACTGCTATTCAATTGTAGGAGCTTTTTCTGGAAGAAAGTTTATATCAGTAGAAACATCATATAGGCAGTGGTTCCTGTGGCAAGTGATTGTTGCTTTATTTCAGCTGTAGGGTGATCCCTGCTTAAAGAATCCTTATTTCAGCCAATTCTGCTGTATTGAGTACCAAAATATTAGAAAGGACTCTTTATACCTCAAAGAATTCTGTGAGCGTATAAAAACCGAATTAGTTCCCTGTAACTCAAGTGTGGTCTGAAGATAACTGAAATGCTAACTATTTCTGTGTTCTTGTTATGAGGCAGATTATTGCTTGGCTTAAGCAACAGCATTTTCTGAAGAGCAGAGCTGTAAAATGTGAAGAGGAGTAATGAAATAGAGTGTTTCTATTTTTAGATGATTATTTAGTTAATGAATGTGACTCTTTCAGCTCCAGGCTTGCAGCTTATTTTGGAACCTGAGGTGGGTTGAAAGGAAAACTTTAATTTGCTGCTTTTGTGTTTTACATTTTTCCTTACCTTATCTAAGTAGGTTCTTTAAAACAAGAAGTGGAGACACAAGAAACAGACCAGAGGAGTATTATTTGTTAAGGCTGTGTTTTCCTGTTGAATGTTTTGGCCGTCATCTGTTAAGAACCACAAGCTAAGACTTTTAAAATCTGCAAACAGGTAGCAGTAATGGAATTTGGTGTTCCTGTATCAAAAAGCACGAGGGTAATACAGCTTTATCTCAGACTTCTTGTCCCAAAGGCTGCACTTCCTGTGAGAATACATTCAAGTTAATTCAAGGACTTTGTTTTTCACAGTAGAGACTATAAACTTCTAATTGTCAATTTTGGGAAAGCTTAATTCAGAAAAAAAGAATAGTAATAAGCCTTTTCTTAGTCAGTGCCACTCACCAGTAATGTAAATTGTGAATATATGGATATGTATCCTGTCCCTGAGCATGGAAGAACTTCAGTGCAATTGTTATTGGCTTATTTAGCTGATATGATGAGGTTGAAGATGAATTGACTAAGTGAAAGGAGCATGTCAAAAAGCAGGATCATGACCCTGGAATTTAGGAGAGCAGACTTGAACCTCTTCAGGTATCTGCTTGGAAGTATTCTGTGAGTTACAGCCCTGGAGAGAAGAGGGGTTCAGAAAAACTTGTTGGTATTCAAGGATCAGCCCGTCCAAACTTAACAAAGTTCCACCCCAGCAAGGGGGAAAGCAAACAAGGGCAACAGGAGGCCTGTGTGGATGAGAAAGGAGCTCCTTATTGAACCTGGACATGAAATGGAATTATATATGAATTGGAAGCAAGGATAGGCAGAACAAGAGAAGTATAGAGTTGCTGTTTGATCTTGCAAGAATAGGGGTTAGAAAAGCCAAGGCTGACATGGAGTTGGGTCTTGCAAGGGACCGGAAGGGCAGCAAGAAAGGATTCTACAAGTACATAAATATCAAAAAGAAGACCAAAGGAAATATGAGCCTGCAGCTGTATGGGAATAAATGGCATGGAAAAGGCCAAGGTACTCAATATTTTCTTTGTCTCAGTGTTTAACAGTCAGTCCAGCTTTCAGGAGTCTCATGCTCTTGAGACCAGAGAGGAAGTTGAGGAAGGAAGCCTTACCTTGGTGGAGGAGGTCCCCGTTAGGGAGCACTTAAACTGGACATACTCAAGTCTGTGGTACCTGATGGGTTGCACCCACAAGTGCTGGGAGCTGCTTGGATTTCATTATGAGACTACTCTCAGTTATCTTACAATGATAATGGTGGATTATTTTTATTTCTTATTATGGAATAATTATTATGAATTATCTCCTCTTATGGAAGAGAACAAGTGTCACTCCTGGTTCCAAGAAGGATCAGGGGAGCTTCAAGTTGGTTAGCTCCACTTTAGTCTCTGGGAGGGTGATGAAGGAAATCCTCATGGAAACCATTTCCAAACACATGCAGGACAAGATGGTGATTGGAAGTAGTCAGCATGGATTTTCAAAGGGAAAATAATCCTTAACCAAACTGTTTGTTCTGTATGATAAGATGTCTGGCTTGGTGAATGGGGTGAACGCTGTAAATTCTGTTTATCTTGATTTTAGTAAGGTTTTTAATGGTATCTTCCATAATATTCTCACAGAGCAGCTAACAGTCTACAGACAAAAATGACTTTAGTAAAGGTTTCACATGAACCAGAGACTTGAGTCAAGACTTAGATGTTCTTTGTTCAACTTCTGATCCTTTCTAGCTTTTTTTGCACCCTCACCAATAAGAACTTCCCTTCTTCCGAGGATAAATTATGAACTCTAGCCTTCGTCTCTGTAAATAGTGACCTTAATTCTAAACTTAATTCAATTTTTCTATATCAGGGTGGTTTTATAGCTCATTCTTTTTTTTCCTGTAGGGGAAAAAGAGACCAGGCTGTTGCAGATGATTTAAATGGGAGAAGCAGAGCTGCAAACCAGCATTGCTAGCTTAGTGTTTTTTGAGTGCCCTAAATTGGTGCTGCTTTGCCCTGTGTGAGTGTTGGGTCTGGGTCCTGTAACCATTTTAGTTGCCACATCCTGTGCCTGTGTGTGCTGATTTTTAGAGGAGGCTACTCCTTCTGGGAGGCCTTGAAATGGTGCCAGTATGCCGTGGCACACTAGTGGGAGCATCAGTTGGCCTTTGTTGTTCAAACTTGCATTTATGGGTACAGGCTAAAATAAATTCAGACTATAATGTTAAATGAGTTACTGAAAGCTCAGTTGAACAATTTAGCATGCAAAAATCATTCCCAGTCCTTTCACCTACTTATGCAGTATATGTTCCAAAGTAGTACAGCACACAAATATTTTGGTTCCTGAGG